AAATTGTAAGAGATGGGGAAAATTGGAGAAGAATTGAACAATACTACCTAAAGCCATACATACAGCAAACTTCAGTAGTGCGGAACAGCAAGCAATTGGAAGCAAAAATTTACGGCCCAAATTAGTATTTTTAGGATGGGAGCGATCCCTACTGTACGCAAATCGTCGGGAATATTGGACTCCATGGAGGACATGCTGATAAGGCATAGCAAAAGAGGGGCTACTTGAGAATAGTAAGAATTAAGGAGACGTTGTAAGATACCTGTCCATGAACGTTCGACTATCGCTAACGGAACTCACTCGTCCCGCTCTGCCTTCGAACTCATTCATGAGCCTCACCAGCAGCTACACAGTGGTTAGTAGTCTAGGCAGATAGTATTGCGGGCAAAGACAGGAGACTAACAGCGGGACTAGTGAGTTCCTTTAGCGATCAGTGAGCGCTCACCAACGAATGTCAATATCTTTCGATCCGAACCGGCAATCCAACGAGGCTGTGGCTCAATGGTTAGAGCCTTAGACTTTTGATCAAAAGGTTACGAGGTCGAGCCTCGGGTGGTACACCACTTGGGGTGGAGTATGACTGGCTGATGACAGCTAGTGAGCCGGAAATGGCTATTCCAGTCTCCCTAGTCTTTGCTGGTGAGACAACATCCGGCCCGACATCTGTTGAGCCACGGGCCTTTTTAAGGGGTTTCTCCACTATTGCCACAGACACAGGAGAGAAGACACCAGTTAGTAAGGAAATGCTGTTTGAGGGAAGATGGAAGTCAGTGGGATTAAAGATAAAAGTTTCATTTAAGGAGTCTGAATCAGCATCCACATGTGCCAGGGTGTTGCGCTGGCCTGTTAAACGACTAGGATTGCCCCAGAGTTTATTAGAGGAAAATAAGGAGTGAGAAAAGAAGCGCAAAAGCTGACTAACAAACGGCTCATTCAGTCTGGCAAACTCTCTCGTTAATATGAAATTACCCTCCTTTAGACTATCACGTAGGTCAAGTGTATAGAGGAGTTCCTTTTTCCATCTTAACATTTTAAGATTGGAGGAAGAAATACTGGTTCGGTTACGAAGCTCACTCATCCCGTTGTGCCTTGGGGTTTGCTCTCGAGTCCAACAGCTAGCATATTATAGACAGAAGCAAATTACCGACAAAACCCAGGGGGAGTGGCATGACCATCTCTGACTTATTAGCCGTCATCAAGCGACCATGCCTCGGCGGTCGTCAACCCTATGTTTGGGTATGACTGGCTGATGATGGATAACAAGCTAGAGATGGCCATTCCAGTTTTCATTGCCTTGGTCGCTAATATATCTCTGGAAGGACTGTTGTCGGGTTATCGAGAACAAGAGGACAGCAAATAATAAAAAATTTAGAAAATGTTATTATGTAGCTAGAGGATGACTTAACGTTCGACTAATTGAGGGAAACAGGGATATTGTGAGATATAGTAGTCCGAAATAAGATAATGGTTTGTAGGGAGGTGTCGTGAACCCCTTATTTATTTTCGGCTATGGTTAGCAGCACGCTTGGAACTGAGCTTAATTTTTGGAAGACTTTAAGACAGAATGATCGGAACCGGGCAACGAAGCTATGTTTTTAAAGAGAAAAAGCTTCGTGTGATTGATTAATATGTAATAAAGAGGCGCATCAGAGCGATTCTTGAAAGAGCATCTACCAAGCCCTAATAGTGAAAATATAGATTTTTTAAGACAGGAACCATGGCGTTCTCAAATATGAAAAATCATATTTGTATTCTCGTCGTATTGCACCAATCGGCACTTCATATGAAGTTAGTCCAGGAAGAGGTATACATATATTAGTGCCCTAACTATAACTCACCGTTAAGTCGGGTGAGTTGCCTTCATGAGCTAAAAATATCGTCCATAATTTAGTTTCCAGAAATCTTTTAGCAGCGCACCTTCGGCGTACTTGCGGTCTAGCGGCAACTTGCACGTGTAAGCATCGATCGATACCTTTAAACGCAACCGACTCGAGGCCTATTGCCGGCTTGATGGATTTGCCACCATGCGCTAAACATGTCCAAAAGGTCTGCGGCACAAACTACCGCTTCAGTCACCCCACGGGGTCCGGACATTACATCTGCTGTCTCAAACACTTTGGACAATTTTACGGAAAACAATGATGCCCTCGCAAAGATACTGGAAAAACACGGTACTGGTGGCAACATCAGTGACAGGACCAAGAAGGCGGCACACGAGCTGGTCCTAGACTTATACACGAAATTGTCAACTAGATGTCAGTTGGGTCTTTACTCGGGCAACCTGCTGTATCACTTAGTCGAGGGCGTCAACCAGTTTGAGATAACCTGCGCTCGACAGAGATCGAATTACAGAAAGCTGGTACGAACCATTCGGGAAGTTGAAGCGGCCAGACATTTCATGATAGATCGGGTGACAGAAATGCAGAACATTCTTTCCGCTACTCGGGAAGCTGGTCTCTACTGGAAGTTTATGTACGAGTTGAGGCAGTTTGAGTACAATCTGGCGGGGGCCCTGGATGAAAGGAAAATCTGGCGCAGTTCCAAGGACTATGACACACTGTGGATTGCAGAAATTGCTGGACCCCTGCAAACAGCGTTGCAGCCCATTTACGCTGCAATTGTTCCCTCCTTGATCGAGGATGGCATGAAAATGGCTATTAACTTGCCCAAGCCGGAAGATGACGGCATGGCCACTTACGCCACCGCCCTTGAACGAATTGCTCAGCGCTGCTACGAAGAGGGCTTCTACATGGAGGCTGAAACCCTGATGAATGCCGCGCAGGCCATCCGAAAGGATGTCTATGGTCCAAATGCCCCCGTAGTAGCTTGTGGTCTAACTTGTTTAGCTCTAATTTATGGAAAAATGAAGGACTTTGACAAGGCCGTCAAAACGAACGCAGAAGCGTTGGCTATTTGGGAAAAGTGTAAGCTCGAGAATGGTCTAGTGGCAAAAAGTTACCTCCAGGCGGGTAACATGCTTCTGAGTTGGGGCAAGGAAGAAGATGGCGTAAAGATGCTAAAGTTGGCCCTTGCCAAGGCAAGTGACGGCCTGCCTCTCACGGGCGACATCTGGGACAAGTGTGCCGTCCGATTGGCACGCGCTTGCA